AGTAAGCCTTTTGTGGTATATAGTTGTGCTTCTAAGATGGGTCTGGGTGGATTGTTGATGCAAGAAGGAAATGTATTAGCTTATGTTTCTAGGCAATTGAAAATCCATGAAAGGAATTACCTTACCCATGACCTTAAGTTAGCAGTTGTAATATTTACACTAAGATTTGGAGACACTACCTATATGATTCTAAGCTTGAGGTATTTAGTGATCATAAGAGCCTTAAATATCTTTTGACCAAAGGAGTTGAATATGAGACAAAAGAGATAGTTGGAATTTCTTAAGGAATAAGATTTTCTACCCATGGATTCAGTAGTAGTTTGAAAGGTTAATCTATATCGGGAATTCCTGGACCTATGCTTATTTTCAACTCCCCAAAGCATTTCGTTGCTTACTTCTCTAGGTCGCTTACTATTACCTTTGACTGGATTGACTAGGAAAGAGTTGCCTTTGTATGGGATAACAAATGTGAGAGTAGTTTCCAAACTCTTAAGGAAAGATTGACTAGTGTTAATACTAGCGAATTTTAGTAAGCCTTTTGTGGTATATAGTTGTGCTTCTAAGATGGGTCTGGGTGGATTGTTGATGCAAGAAGGAAATGTATTAGCTTATGTTTCTAGGCAATTGAAAATCCATGAAAGGAATTACAGCAAGAGGCCTTTCAAAGAGAGAAGGACAAAATTGAAAGGGAAGGCCAACTTGCTTATCTTGAAGAGGAATTGAGGATTCTTAAACAAGAAGAGGAAAAACTAAAAGAAAGCATGAAAAAACATAAAAGAATGAGTAGGAGCTCACACTCCTAATACACATCCCCAAATGAAAGTATGAACAATGGGGATCACTATCAACCCACCCCTAGGAGAACCATTAAACCTAGGGAAGTCAAAGTTGACCTCCCACAATTTTTTGGGAAAGATGATGTGGAGTTGTATTTAGATTGGGAGATGAAATTTGAGCAACTCTTTGCTTGCCACAAGGTGCGTGAAGAAAGGAAAGCCCTTTGGCTACCCTTAGCTTTCAAGGGCATGCCATGTATTGGTGGACAACCTTAGAAAGAGAAAGGCGCCTCCATAATGACCCTCCTATACAATATTCATGTCATTCTAAGAAACATTTTTTTATAATCCTTCGTACATTGACATCTTCTAGTTTGAACGGATATAAGTTCCAAATTATGTAACTCATTAATACTGAAGATGAAAACTCATTTACTGGTTTAATAAAAAATCCATCACATATTAATACATGTTTATATGGTGTCTTAAATATTAATGAAAGTGTTGACTTTAAAATTGTAATGTGTAATTTAAAAATATCAAATATCACTTTCATCACATTCCTTTAGGATACATAACTTTTTTATTTCAAGAGTTTTTTTTTTTGGTTCGTCCCTGGAGTATTCAGGGTCGATAGCAGTGACTAATCTCTTCGCTATGTTGGAGGCACTTCAAAGGGTGGGATAACTGGCCCTAAGATTTTACGCGGCTGCATACACAAGGCAGGATTCGAACCCCTGACCTCGCTTAAGTATGGATCAACCCCTAGGGCTGAACCACACGCTTGGGATTTTTATTTGAAGAGTTATCACCATGAGTATGACTGAAAAAATCTTGAGAAATCATTATCACAATTTTAATGTTATATTTTATTTCTTTTGAAGGTATATTTTACATACTAATGTTATAAATAATCCAAAAAAATCTTAGGTTATGTTTAGATTGGAAATTTTATAATTTAAGATACTAGAAATTTTAATTGTTTAATTTAAATTTATTTATTTTATAGTTATTTTGACCAAATAACATAATTCAAAATTTTAAATTTCAAATAATTAATTAAGAGAATACAATTTATATTTCACCATATGCAGAATTATTTTTTAATATATTTTTAATATTTAAAAATTTCAATATTAAATTTTATCAAAAAAGTATTAGTTAAATTTTAAACATTTAACAATTCAAAATTTAAGATAAATAATATTTTATAATTTAAA